ACTTAGCAAGACCATGACTCAAAATAGAAGGAAGGAAGGAAGGAAGGAAGGAAGGAAGGAAGGAAGGAAGGAAGGAGGGAGGGAGGGAGGGAAGGAAGGGCGGGCTGGAGAGTTAATTCACTGCAGATGACCTGGATTCAATCCACAGTACAGGGAAAAACTCCTGTGAAATATTAATATGTAAGAACAGACCAAAAAGGAAAAAAATTGCGCTGGGACTTTTTTGAGACAGGGTCTCCCTTTGTAGTTCAGGCTGGCCCTGAATTCACTGTGTAGCCCAGTCTGGTCTTGAACTCACCCGGATCTTCCTCCTGCCTCAGTCTCCTGAGTCCTGGGAATACAGGCATGCACCACCACACCTAGCAAAAGGCTCTGCTGGGACCAGCGAGCTAGATCAGCAGTATAAAGTGCTTACTTAGGCAAGCTTAGGCATGCTCAGGGATCGTGAGTCGATCCCCAGCACCACATGCAGCGTTAGCCCTGTCCCCAGGGCGGACTAAGCCAGCCACAAAAAAAATTTTAAGAAAAAGGCTCTGCATTTTTGGAAGAGGCAGAAGAAATGACGTTTTTCTCAAAAGAATATAATAATCAAACACAAAGAAAAAGTGCAAGTCCAAGAATTTAGAGCCCAGTGAACATAAGTCTCTCAAGGACTAGAAGATGTGCCTTGTTCTGCTGGTGACCAAGGAAATTTCACATAGAACAAAAGGGCAGAACAGAAAAAGAAAGGCCAGACTTTGGTTTGGTTTGCTGCTTAGCTACATCCCCAACATTTAAATTTTATTCTGAGACAGTCTCACTAAATTGTCCTGGAGAGCCTTAGACTTAGGAATCTCCTGCCTCGGCCTACCGAGTAGCAGGGATAGCAGACACACACCATCACTCTGAGCCTGATTTTGTATGAAATGAAGTGAAGCTAGATGGTGTGTTAAGCAAGTAACGTTTTTTAAAGTTACTGATGGGTAAGACATATTTAAGATCCTACTGGCTGCTTTAAGAACAGATAAATAGGTCTTGTTTTTAACTTTCAAAAGTATCTGAAAATAAACTTTGACCTACCACTAATAAAATCTTTAAGGGCCTGGAGAGTGAGCTCAGTTGAATAAGCGCTTGCCTGGCAAGCTCAAGGGCCTGAGTTCAATCCCCAGCTCCGCAAAATAAAAAAAATAAATAAAATCTTTAGATGTATTAAATTAGGAAATAATCTTTTAAGCATAAAAACTTGAAATGTAAGGGTATTCATAATAATATTCATATTTTAATTGGCAAATAGTACACAAGGATGTATTTTTCTAGACATACTCTGAATCAGTAATTAGTGCTACCCTATAAATTTATGAAATTTGTACATGAAATTTGGCAGTCTAAGCGCCTGCCTGGCAAGCACAGGGACCTGAGTTTGATTCCCGGTATGATATGCCAGGCCAGCCTTGCACCAAGCCAGCCAACAAAATTGGGTGTGGTGGCACATGCCTGTAATTCCAGCACTGGGGAGGCTGAGACAGGAGGATCACTATGAGTCTGAGCTGTGTAGCGAGACCCTGTACCAAATGTACAATAAAAGATTTTTAAAAAAAATAAATTTTAAAAAATGTTAATAAAATAAAATAGCCAGGAGTGATGGCACACACCTGTAATCCTAATCTGAGATAGGAGGATCACTTGGAGTGTGAGCCCAGCCTGGGCTACAAAGTGAACTCAAGGCCAGCCTGAATTGCAGTGAAATCTGTCTCAAAAAGACAAAAAATAAATAAAAACATAAAAGAGCCAGTTGTATTCCTGAAATCCAACCTACCCAGAAAGCTGAGACAGGAGGATTGCAAATTTCAGGCTAGAATGGGCAATTTAGCAAGATCCTGCCTCAAAATAAAAAATAAAGTGGAGTGGAGATGTAGCTCACTGGTAAAGCACCACTGGGAAATGCCAGTACTGGGGAGGATAGGGATTTTTTAAAATAAATAAATACTAACCAGTCAGGCAGATGGCACACACTTGTAATCCCAGCATTCTAGGAGGCTGAGACAAGAGGATCACAAATTCAAGCCCAGCCCGGACAATTTAGCAACTTGGAGAAATCCTGTCTCAAAATAAAAAATAAAAAAAATCTGGGGATGTAGCTTAATGTGGAGGCCCTGGGTATCAATTCCCAATAACACAAATATACATACAGTTCATAAGTAAATACTATTCAAATTAGTATTTAATTAAAATTAATATTTGTATCACAAATACCTTTAAACACCAAAAATGATTACAAATACATTTTTAATGGCTATGATAGTCTAACACTTAGCTGGATCTCAAATTTCAAAATCGCTTATCTTTTTTTTTTGCAGAACTGGGGATTGAACTCAGGCCCTTGCACTTGCCAGGCAAGTGCTTATTTTCTGAGCTATCTCCCCATCCCCCAAAATTCCTTATCTCATCCTTTGCAAATATTTATTTTTTTAGTTAAAAGGTCAAAACTTCCCAATGTGCAGTGCTGGTCCTGCCCCCAGGGTGCTTTGAGAGGGCGAATGAGACTGGGCGTGGTGGCACATGCCTATAACCCCAGCACTTGGGAGGCTGAAAACAGGAGAATCACTATGAGTCTGATCTACACAGTAAGACCCTTAGTCCCTGTAGATCCTGTCCAAATACAGGAAAAAAAAAAAAAAAAAAGGTCAAATCCTCAAGCCAAGTGTGGTGGGCACACACCTATAATCCCAGCATTCAGAAGGCTGAGGCAGGAGGATCATTGCAAGTTCAAGACCAGCCTGGGCTACAAACTGAGCTCAAGCCCACCTTGAACCGCAGAACAAAACCCCATCTCAAACAAACCCCCACCCCCAACACACACACACACACAGAAGGTCAAAAAACACAGAATAACAATAACAAAACAAACACAACCCACCACAGAACAGTTGGCCAGGTGCTAAAATTACAACATAATTTCATAGACAGGAATAAATATGAGGCAGGATAAGCTTTAGCCACCGAAGAAAAAAACTCTCTTAATATTGTGCCATAGCCTGCAGCTGTTACTTATGCCCCTTGGAGATGAGAAACTAGACTAGAAAAAAATCTTTTAATCAGGGGGAAAACTTCAAGAAAAGGCAAATTCCTGTATTTGTCTTCTGTGTCCCGCCTCCTCCCACCTACCAAGGACAACACTCTGGGGATTGTCTTACTCTGTCAGTCCTTTGCTGTCTGCTAGATTATTCCCAATATTCTCTTATCTTTTTCCATTAAAAAAAAAATATTTTAAAAAAATTCTTGACCTCATTTTCCACTCCAGCTATCACATCATTCCTCCTCTTTCCAACTCCACAGAAATGCAGCCTGGCCTCTTCGCCAACAGCACAGTCCCCTAATCCTCTTTGGAATTTATTACCATTTGGCTTCATCCTCACACAGTCTAGATGCTTTTCACCAGCAAAACAGTACCAGCCCAAGGACCTGTGGCAAGTCCTAAGCAGTCACCAGCTGCGCCTCACCCCTGTGCTGACTTGGTCATTCAAAACAGGTCCTCATGAGCATCTCCTCTTGGAAATCTTCTGGTCTCCAGAAGCCCGCAGCCTCCTCACTTCCTCACCACCCCCTCGCCAAGCTGCTTAATCTCAGGCACCTGAATGTCACAGACATGCCGAAGACTCACTTGAGAGTGCAGTCCTAAATTTCTACCCAGACACCCTGCTGTGTACCCAATGTCCCCACTGGAAAATCTGACAGATTTTCTCAACATGTACAAAACTGCGCTCCCCATCCTCATCCTGAGCTTAGAGAAATTAGGAGCTCCTCTAGGCTCACTTTTATTTCAACTGACAGACACTGATAAAAGCCTCTAAGCCAACTTTGCTTCCTCCTCTCAAATCTGACACACTAAAATAAAAACTGAGGAGTATCTTAGTCCTCTGCCTCAGTATTAATGGCCTGATTTCTCCCCCAGAACACCTAGTATTCTCATTCTTCTGCTGCTTACTTATTAAATCTCAAGTGTCATAGTACCTGAACATATTGCCTATGCATGGATGAAAGTGGTAGATTACCTTTTTACTGCTAACTCATCTCTCAACCAACAAGACAAGGATTATAATCACCTTATCGTATCTGAGATTGGGGATACCGCTCAGTAGCACAGCACATGCCTTCCATGCACAAGGCCTGGGTTTGGATCTGCTGTTGTGGTTTATATCTAGATGTAGCCCCAGGGCTTCATGTGCTCATGGATGGGACTTAGCCAGGCACTACAGCTGCTTGTGATGTTGGGTAGGGACTGGTCAGAAGAGGCAGGGGACTGAGGCTGGCCTGTAGGGTTCCTCTCCCTCCACACCAACAGGAGCCCTTTCCCGGGGAAGGACCCTTTCACCACAAGGCTTCTGCCTTGGAGCCAACCAGTGACAGACTGAAGGCTCTACCACACATGAGCCAAGGAGACCTCTCTTCTTGGAATTTGTTAGTGTTGAATCCCAGCAAGGAGAAAATAACTAAGACATCTGACAAACACTGAAAAGTAACTTAAATGTATAGCTTTTCAAAAAGTAACATTACTCAACTATGGCAAAATAATCACTCTTATATAAAAAAAAATCACTCTTATAAGAATGTTCCCTGAATTATACACTCATTGTAGTTTTTTAATACCTTAGTTTTTTAATGGCATTTTATTTCAAATATAAACTAAAAGTTAAATACATTGAGCGAGTCTAAACACAGGTGAACTTGCTTTTACAAAGAGAAGAAAGTGTACTACTTTCTACTGACACACTGTATGCAAAATTTTATCTTCAGATATAAAAGTAACTAAATTTAAAAGTCCAATTCAGTAATTCTAACAGCAAGGGGAAACTCTGGGTCTTTTCTATTATTGTTTGTCCTTTTATTTGTGTGTTGTTCTTGCAGTGCTGAGGATCAAAGCCAGATCCTCCCATTTGCTAGACAGGCACTCTACTGTGGAGCTATGCCCTAGAAAGAAAGATAGGGTGAAAACTCAAATCAAGGGGGAAAATCTGTTGTACCTCTTTCAGTTTTATTAATTTGCATTTAATGAAAAAGATTAGTTGTTCAAATATAGTCAATTCTGGTATTTTTGTTGGTTTGTTTGTTCAGGGATATTATTTGGTTTTTTTGGTACTGGGGATAAAACTCTAAATTGCTGTACCACTAAGCTACACCCCCAGACCTTTTTCTCTTCTTATTTGAAACAGTCTCGCTAAGCAGCCCAGCCTAGCCTGTTAACTTAGGATCCTCCTCCCTCAGTCTCCTAAGTAGTAGGGTGGGAGGGCCTGCTCCCTGGGCCTGGCTCAGTTACCTATTCAGTCATGCTGCTAAGAGGCAGGCTGAGCACAGGGCTGGGGATGTGCAGACACACCCATATACTTCTGTACCAAGTGTACAGTGTCTCCACTGCACAGCTCAGAAAATGATGCTGCAGTTTATTAAACTATCTGGTCATATTTTATCACACTGTAGCTCTGAAAGTAACAAAATATGAACAAATGAAATAAGCTAGTAGAAATTTAAAGATATCAATGTGCAATACATTAACCATTGCTACCCTCCTCCTATCTTGTTTTGACATTTTGGGCTTTTTCTCTCTAAAATTAATTTTTAACCAGGAATTGAACTTAGGACTTGTGCTTAACAGGCAGGTATTGTGCCACTGAGCTATCTCTCCAACCAAAAAAATCTTAATAAAATAAAAAATAAAAAGAAACGAGTCAGTAGAGCCACTTGCTTAGGTACAACTTACCTAAAGTCTTCGTGTTTGCCAGAAGAGCCTCTTCATAAGACAGGATGTAGTAGAGCACCAAAAGCTGCGCTGTGATACTGAAACGCTGGTTAAGGCGGACACTGTCACCCTGGAGGTGATACCACAAACTTTAACACACTGCTAATCGCATGAGTGCTTTTTCCAACAACAGTGAAGTATCAAAATAGACTGCCTGGTGTTGCTGCTCCCAAGCTCAGCTAAACTGGCAGAAATGGTGCTGTATTTACATTAAACTCAAGGAGAGAATATGAATTTTAAGTGAAATTTGAGACAGCATGAAAGGCAACATGTTTACCTAGTTCTACTAAGCAGAACTAAAACAAAAACCTTCAGCTACTACTCTCAGCACTCCTAATCAGGATATCTGTCTGTCTGTCTGTCTGTCTGTCTGTCTGTCTTTCTTTCTTTCTTTCGACAGGGTCTCCCTCTGTAGTTCAGACTGGCCTTGAGCTCACTCTGTAGCCCAGGCTGGTTGTGAACTTGCAATGGTCCTCTTGCTCAGCCTCCCAGTGCTGGGATCACAGGCATGCACCACAACTCCCAGGTTTAAAACGAAACTTTTAAGAAAACTCCTCAAATAGTGACTATTTGACAAACTACATATAACCAATAGAATTATTCAATTTTTACATATGATCTACTAAGAATTTTATTTTAAATTCAGAATCACGTAGAAATCTGATGAAGAGAAAAAATAGGAAGTTAGAAGAAAAAAAAAGGAAAATCAGCTAATAAATGTAAAAGAACCACTATTTTACCCCAATGACTTCATGGAAAATATTGAGTATTTCCTGCTCTGTGACTGGCTGATTTGTGGCCTCTGGGTTAGATTTTGATGCTGGAGTAAGTATAGAATTGATGTACACGTCAATCAGAGGAAGTAACTGAGGGTGGAGAGGAGTGGAGGTCTCACACAGCTGCCGGTAAATCCAATCCTAGAAATGGGTACAGGCACTCAATCAATTGCAGAATCAGAAAATTAAAGAATCACATACAGTTTTACATAACCTAGAAATCAGAGAAACTCAGTATTAACTTTTAGCAGTCCCAAATATAGAGTTTCATAATTTTCTTTGATATAAAGATACAAATTACCTTATATCTAAATGAGAATGCTAGCCAGTGAAAGATGAGCCTAACAGGATGAGAAGCCTAGTTTTGGGTTTAAATAGTTTTTAAGTAGCAAGGAAAACATTTTAAGTCCCTACTAAATATCTATCTATAGTATTATATTTGTTGTCATGGAAGACCTCACAGCAGAGGAATTCCGGGAGAGATCGTTCTTCAAAGCATATTAAGAAACTATGATCAGCACTGATAGAACAATACCACTTATTTTACAAAGAAAATATAGAAATGTTGGGAGATATATATATATATATATATATATATATATTCTTTACTTTTTTTTTTTTTTTTGTGGGCAGAACCGGGGATTGAACTCAGGCCCTTGCGCTTGCCAGGGAAGCGCTTATTCTACTGAGCCATCTCCCCGGCCCCAAACAATTGGGAGAGATTTTTTTTTTTTTTTTTTTTGTGGAACCAGGGATTGAACTCAGGCCCTTGCGCTTGCCAGGGAAGCGCTTATTCTACTGAGCCATCTCCCCGGCCCCAAACAATTGGGAGAGATTTTTTTTTTTTTTTTTTTTTGTGGAACCAGGGATTGAACTCAGACCCTTGCGCTTGCCAGGGAAGCACTTATACCGCTGAGCCATCTCCCCAGTTCTTGATTTGGTTTTCTGATTACAAGCCCTCACTATGCAGTTCAAACCTGGCCTCGAACTCCCTATGTAGTCCAGGTTGGCTTCAAACTCATGCTAATCTTCCTGCCTCAGATTCCAAGTGCTGGGATTCCAAGGCATGCACCACCACACCTGGTGCTTTTTTTTTTATGTATTTGGTCAAGTCTCACTATGCATTCCTGTTTTCAGCCTCCCTGGCATTGGGATTACAGACCTGTGCCACCACACCTGGTCTCGGTGGCTGGCTCAGCATGCCCGGGGAGTGGAGCCTAAGCAGCATGTGCTGCTGTGCATCAAACCCCAGTCCCTATGCTTGCCTAAGCAGGCACTTAGTCCACTGAGCTATCTTACCAGCCCTTCAACTGGTGCTTTTTGATAACAGAAACACAAAATGCAATCTAGCTGCAAAATAACCTCATTAAATCATAGGAAAAAAAGCAATATATCATGCATACACTGTTCATTGTTCTTTATAAATAAGCAAACTCTGTAAATGACTCAAAAGATTTATTTACCTCCGGGGTTTTAGCCTTTTCTGTAGCCAAAGATACAACACTGAAACATTTTATATATATATATAAATTAGGTACTAGATTGCTTGCCATAAACTTGCTGACGGGTACTCTCCTCATCTGTTGGACACAACTAAAATTTAGACAATGGCCACTGCTTCCTATGTGTTAATGACAGTGTTACTAAGAACCACATGCTACAACTGAGAATTTAAATGGGAGAATAAGAGTTTTACATTTTTAAAGTAATGGTTATATTTTTTAAAATTCTGAAATTGGGTTCCTCATAACTCTACTTGTATGAATGACTACTAATTTAGCTAAATTAGCTAAAGGCCTACAAACTAAAACAAAACTAGCTAGGGAGGAAAAATTAATTTAAGTTGTAGTTTGAAATACAAATATCAAGTCGTACTTTTATTGACACTTTGTGCTTGGTAAAGGAACGACTCCTGAGAAGCTGGTAAATACAATGAATGGGCAAAAACCCCGTGATGTTGGCGCTCAGGTTGCTGGTGACAGGGACCCGGACTGCATGAGCTGTGACGACCTAAAATGTAAAAGTAATATTAATACATGTGACATAACAAATGCAAATTATTTTGAAAGAAAGAGGACAGATATCAATCCTTACTATGTAGTAATTAGGAATGAATAATGAAAATCAGTCATCACATTTTTAAATTATTCTTAAATGATGAGCAAGCATATGGTTAAGGATATGTTAAGTTCTCTAATCCTTTAGTTTAAAACAGTTATGTACACAGTGGTGTGAAAGGTAAAAAATATACATATGTACAATTTAGAATCACAGGATCTGGGCTTAGTGATGATAGAGAAGTCACTTTATCTTCTGAATCTATTTCACTTCTTCAAAATGGGAGTCTGCATCATCTGTCTCACGGGGTTATTGTAATGAGAAAAATATCTTTGAAAACAATGAGGTGAACTCTAGAGCATCACATAAGCGGCTGTTATTATTCTCCGTGTGTCATGCAACTACCTCTAAGTGTCTTTCAAAAACCCTCTCAGAGTTGTGTTCCAAGTGGTTCAAATTCAATGCCATATAAACTACCGTGATTCTCCTGTCCTTAATGTGACCATCTGTTCAGTGCGAATATATATGTGCATGTGCAGGAAAGGAGGGGAGAGTTGGGCATAGGGCTAAGATATTAATCACATAAAAGAAGTAACAACTATGGGTCCATATGTATTTAAAAATATTTCATTTTTCAGACATATATATCTTATATTTTAAGATTTAAATTAATAAATGAATCTGAAAATTAATTTTAAATTTTAGAATGAACTCCACTGAAAAATATTCTAATGGTACGTTTATCCATAGACAAAAGTATTGAAGCCAAAAAGAAATGCAATACAGGACTAAGGAATTTAGTGCTTTTTGTAATCTAGTTAGAAATGAACCTTACAACCTAAAGACTTAAATAGGTCTCTATTTTTTTCCTGATAAATTTAAATCATTTTTTCCTGATAAATTTAAATCATTACCTCACGTGAGTGCTCTACCAATATCTATGGCTATCCTCTGAAATACCTACTCAAAGTCTCCAAAACTACATAAATTTAAAATATACTTTGCTATCCAATGAGGTGTTTTAAAATTCTTCATGGAAATTTCAAACATAAATAAAACATTATTATACAGTGAAATAGAATGGACAAGAACCATATTACTAACATGATATAGATATATATA